TAATTTATTACCATTTTTTTTCTTGTTTTTTTTTAGGTAGGTCTGTAGAGCTATGAACGTCCCTCTCAAGACTGCTTTCACTGTGTCCCATAGATTTTGGATTGGTGTGTTTTCACTGTTGTTTGTTGCCAGGATACTTTTTATTTCTTATTTGATCTCTTTGGTAACCCAATCATTATTTAATAGCATGCTATTTAGCCTCCAAGTGTTTAATTTTTTTCATTGTAGTTGATTTCTAATTTTATGCCATTGTGGTCGGAGAAGATGCTTGATATGATTTCTATCTTCTTGAGTCTGATGAGACTTTGCTTGTGTCCCAATATGTGGTCTATCTTTAAAAATGTCCCATGTGCACTTGAGAAGAATGCATATTCTGCAGCTTTGGGATGAAATGTTCTGAAGATGTCAATCAAGCCCATCTGATCTAGTGAGTCATTTAGGATTGATGTTTCCTTGCTGATTTTTCATTTAGAGGATTTATCTAGTGGTGTCAATAGGATATTAAAGTCCCCTACTATGACTGTATTGCTGTCGATCTCTCCCTTTATATCTTCCAGAAGTTTTTTTTATGTATTTGGGTGCTCCTGCATTGGGTGCATATATGTTTACCAGGGTTATAGGCTCTTGTTGAATTGCTCCCTTTAGTATTATGAAATGGCCTATCTCTTGTTATGGCCTTCACTTTGAGGTCTAATTTGTCAGATATAAGTATTGCTGCCCCAGTATTTTTTCATTTCCATTAGCCAGAAAAATTTTTTCTAACCCTTCACTATTAGTCTGTGTGAGTCCTTTGTTTTGAGGTGGGTCATGTTTTCTTATCCATTCAGCTACTCTATGTCTTTTGGTTGGAGCATTTAATCCAATTACATTTAAGGTTATTATTGACAGGTACTTGTTTGTTGCCATTTTTATTCTTTATGCCTGCGTTCCTTCTTCCCTTCCTATTTCTTCTTTTTACAGCAGTCCCTTTAGCATTTCTTGCATTGCTGGTTTGGTGGTAATGAACTCCCTTAGCCCTTTTTTGTCTGTGAAGCTCCTGATTACACCTTCAATTTTGAATGATAGCCTTGCTGCGTATAGTATTCTTGGATTCAGTCCCTTGCTTTGCATCACTTTGTATATTTCATTCTATTCCCTTCTGGCCTGATGTGTTTCTGTTGAGAAATCAGTTGATAGTCTGATGGGAGATCCCTTGTAGATAACTTTCTGTCTCTCTCTAGCAGCCTTTAAGATTCTTACTTTGTTGTTGGTGCTTTCCAATTTAATTATGATGTGTATTGGTGTCAGTCTTTTTGGGTTCATCTTGTTTGGGACTCTGAGCTTCTTGGACTTGTGTGAGTTTTTTCTTTCCAATATCAGGGAAGTTTTCTGTCATTATTTCTTACAGGTTTTCTATTCCTTGTTCAGTTTCCTCTTCTTCTGCCACTCCTACTATGCAGATGTTGTTTTGTTTCATGTTGTCCCAAAGCTCCCTTATGCTATGTCATTCTTCATTTCTTCTTGGTTCTTCTTCATTTCCTCTTGATTCTTACACATGTTGTTGAATTTGTCTTCCATCCTTTTCAGTGTCCTTATGACCATTGCTCTGAATTCTTTCTCTGACAAATTGCTTGCTTCCATTTAATTTACTTCCTTTTCTGGTGATTCCTCCTTTTCTTTAGTGTGGGGGCTGTTTCTTTGTCTCCCCATTTTTTAAAAATATATTTTATTGATTTTTTACAGAGAGGAAGGCAGAGGGATAGAGAGTTCGAAACATCGATGACAGAGAAACATTGATCAGCTGCCTCCTGCACACTCCCCACTGGGTATGTGCCTGCAACCAAGATACATGCCCTTCACCAGAATCAAACCTGGGATCTTTGAGTCTTCAGGCTAATGCTCTATCCACTGAGCCAAACCTGTTAGGGCTGTCTTCCCATTTTCACTCCTTTCAGGGTGTCTGATTATGTGGTTCACTGTCTACCACGTTGACCAAAAGGCACAAAATACAACTCGACAAGACACAGAGGGAACAAAACACGAATGTATTCAGAACACCAATAACCCCAAATAAAGGTGACCACCAGAGAAAAGAGAATTAGGGGAGAGAAAAGAGCACAAAAATGATATTGAGAAAAGGAAAAGAGGTGAGAGAGAAAGGAAAATGAAGAAAAAAGAAGGGGAAAGAAAGAGAAAATAAAAAAAAGAGAAGTATATGGGGAGAAAACTCCACAAAACCAACAACTAAACCAAAAAATGCAAACAACCAACCCCTAGAAAAACAAAACAAAAAAAAACAACACACAAAAACGAGGGGAGCTGAATCTGAAGAGGCAAAGCTTATTTCCAGAATATAAGACAAAGGAATTGAATGAATGGGCAAATGGCCACAACTCAGTATAGAAGAGGTAGAATGAGTTTATATGAAGAAAAGTAAAAAACAAAATAATCAATTAAAAAATAATAAATAATAATTAAAAAATAGTAATTAAAAATGTTTAAAATATATATATAAATTTATACAAAAAATTTCCCCCTTTCTTTAATTGATCTATCTATATATTCATTTATTTTTGAAAAAGGAGAATAGAGTAGGCAGCAGATAGGCCTGAGTGAAACTAACTAAGCTATTAGTAGAAGAGAACAAGTGAGGAGAGGAAAAACAAAAGCATAAAATAAAAAACAAAAACAAAAACAAAAAAAACCTAACAAACTATCAAACAAGTAACAACAAGAAAAAAAATTGGCTAGCAAAGAAAGAGAAAAGAGAAGGATGCATGAACTCGGAGCAGGGGAGAGGAAATTAGATATGAGTAAGGCAATAGAGGCTACTGTAATAGAGTCCCCTACTGCCAACAGCCCTGTGTACACTGTTCCACAGTCCAGTGCTACCTTTGTCCCTAAGGGACATGGTGTTGGTTCAGTGTAGTCCAGGCTGCACACATTTCTCCCTCCAGCCCAGGTCCCTGATCCCACCAGTTTCCTGGCTAGCTCTGACCTTTCTGTCCACGGATTGCCTCTCCAGCTGTGCTTACTTTGCCAATTCCAGGTGGATGTTACTGGATTCAGCTATTTCTCCTATCTGCTCTGTGAGAAGGAACCAGACCCATCCATCTATTCGGCCACCATTTTGTCTCCCCCTGGACAAGGAGCCCATGGAGAGGAAGGCTGGAGTCTCCGTGTTCATGGGTTCACAGCTGTGGCAGCTGGTCCCTGGCCAGTGTGGCTGTAGGGTCCCATGTGGTGTTAGAGGTCTCCCCGGGTATAGGTTGATTCTTATATGTGTCCTGACCCCGGGATCGAACTCACAACCCTGGTGTATCAGGATGACACTCTGAGCAACTGAGCTACATAGCCAGGGTGAGCACACTTTCCCTGTCTTTCTTTTTCTTCTTCTTTTTTTTGTTTGTTTTGTTAATCCTCACCCGAGGGTATTTTTCCATTGATTTTTTTTTTTTAGGGAGAGTGGAAGACAGAGAGAAACATTGATATGAGAGAAACACATCAATTGGTTGCCTCCTGCATGAGTCCTGACCAAGGCCTGAGCCAGGGAGGAGCCCATAACCAAAGTACCTGCCCTTGACTGGAATTGAACCCTGGATCGTTTGGTCTGCAGGCCAATGCTTTATCCACTGAGCCAAACCACCTAGGGCCGCACTTTCCCCTTCCACGAAGACTGAAGACACCAAAGATGTCTTGGCAGAGTAGAGAAAAACCGACCAGAGCAATGACCACAGAGTAGCAGAGCTGTCTAGCCACAGAGGGGCCAGGCCCCAGGGCTGTTCTATAGCTGTGCGGCTCTCACAGCTGTGCTGTATCACAATTGAGCTGATGGCACTGAATAAAGTTTCCTTTTTCACCACACCCCAAATTGGGGATTCTTGTTGGCACTGAATTGGTGCCAATGACCATCAGTTGACACACCAAAGGCCTGACACCCAATTTATATAATAGACGCCAAAGGGTATTATTGACTATGTTATTTCAGAAAAGCATCCTTCTACTTCCTTTGTAGAAGTCCCCACCTTTCCCCTCAACCAGAATCATTCTTTCAACTGGAAAATAGTCATCACTGAATCAGTCACACAATATAGGGAGAGATAAAGACATCAATGATGAGAATCACTGATTGGCTATCTCCTGCATGCCCCCTACTGGGATTGAACCCACAACTTGAGCCGGTGTCCTGACCGGGAATCAAATCATGAACTCCTGGTTTATAGGTCCATGCTCAACCACTGAGCCACACCAGTCAGGCGATTCGGCAGTCTTTTTACTTACCATTGAGAAGAATTACAGATTGTTAAAAATAAAGAGAACTTTAAAATATCTCTTTCAAAAAATTTGAGTGCCTACTACA